GCAAAAACTCCGTCCCCCAAAAACACCCGAACCCTAACCTCTCGCCTATGAAGCGTCGCTCTTACCACTATACCACGCCGCCGTTGGGAGCTGAGGAACATTCATGTAATTTAAGTTTTCTCATGTTAAGCTCCCTGAAACCACCCTCATAACTCTGTTCAGAGAAACGCTCGGCAAATTTGGAAAGCAGATTTGAACTCAGCATCAAAAAACACGTCTAGCAGTGTAGGTCTCATTTCAAATGGCCACTTCGACTTGGGATCCTTCCCTGGTAAGAGGACTGGTCATCACCCTCATTAACGTCTCTTCAGGAGAATTACCTCACTCATAGAAGGCGAGAGCATATTTTTTTTGTCTACAAACTCTTTTGTAGGATGACTACGGATCAATCTCGAGGAGCATGGGGAAGCCAACTTCAATTCATTCTTACTTGTATTAGTTTCTCTGTTGGATTGGGTAACCTATGGAGATTCCCGTCAACTGCTTACGAAAACGGAGGAGGTAATCAGTGTTGACTTTTTGTCGGTTGACAGGTCGTTTTATTTGGAGCAGTTGAGTGATTGTCTTGACTTTTAGCCAGGACTACACCCTATTCAGTTTGACCATTGAAGGGAAAAACTCTATCTTAGGTCGAAAATTAAATATAGGAGTTTTTTGAGTTGAAACACTTCACTTTAATTTTTTTTTCTCGCCATAAGCCGTTTTTCTGTGAATTTTTAGTGGTGTTCGTCATACCGTATGTGATTTGTTCGGCACTCGTTGGTCTTCCATGCCTCTATTTGGAATTTCTTATCGGACAACTTACTCAATCTGGTCCCTCCAAAGCCTTCCGATATTTCATACCAGCTTCGCAAGGTGAGAAGCTTTTGTGAACTGCCTAGAAAGTAAGTCCTAATCCCTGAAAAAGGGTACATCACCTGTTACACTCGTAAGGAAGTTCGAATCACGAATTGGTACTCGCCACAGCCAATCAAGACTCCCATCCCTCCGAAGATGGTCGTCGTGGTGGATGAATTCACTGATTTATATAGGTCACATACGCATTCAATACACCACTACGATTCTGATAGAAAGTCTAATGTGGGGCCCTCCTTGGAGACTAGATTCATTGATGCCAGAGACTTTATGATTCTTTCATTTCGATTGGATCGGCTTGGCTGTGTGCCCTGAAAGCACTACAATCTTCAGGTGTTGGATGGGCAATGTCTATAATAAGCGTATCAGTTGGAATTTACTATAATGTTGTAGTAGCATGGTGCCTTCTGTATATGTTTGATGTCATCACGCTTCAATCGGGTAAATGGACATCTTGTAATAATTTCTGGAACACTAAAAGTAAGTTATAATAGTTTTAGCTAGCTTTAACCACTAAAAGTCGAGTCTCATCAGAAGTAATAATGAAGGAGCGATTGACTTGGGAGCAAGAGCAGCTTACCGATGTAGATGGGAACTAGAACTCAATTCGTAGACTTCAATCGAACAAACATTTCCAATATTGAGCACTTTGCCTACAGTACTTTGGGTCTTTCTGTGGCACGAAAGAACAAAGAGTAGTGACGAAAATCTTACCGTAACCCTCCTATTAAACTCCTGCAGTCGCCCTGTCACTGAAACCTGTCATCGCTTTTTATTTATTAACATAACTAATATGTGCCATTCTACATCAACTTTTTTCGAAAGACATTTCCGGATACAACGAAAATAGCGAACTATAGAGTTATTTCATCTTTAGAAAAGGTGATTTTGAATTTAACTGAACTTGGTTCCCTCATTGAGATAAGAAATGGAGTAATCCTTCTTTGAGAATAATTGCTTATTGATCACAGTGTAAATATAACAAAACTAAAATCCAGCTCTCAAATGCATAAATACGCCTGATTTCATCTCTCAAGCATTTACAAAGACCACTATGTGATTTCCAGATTGTAACGATGGATCCATTACTTTCTCGACTAGCAGAACTAATTCATCACTTGCCGCTCAAGAATTTTTTCGGTAAGCATCAAACCATTATTTCCAATAGAAAGCAGTATTTGTTCTAGTGATATGCCAAAAAGCAAGCGGGCCCATCCAGCTTAGCAAACACCACTTTGACATTACTGTACTGTTAAAGAGCTCATTTGATAAAACAAAACACTGGCCGAGCATACATTCGAGCCTTTCTACAGTAGGCATGACTAACTGGGTGACCAATACACTTGGAACAACGAACTTACGAGCATTTTGCACTAACCCGCTGCAGGATTTCAAATAAATCTCTCAGAAGATTATGATCAACGTTGTTACACATTTCAAGGGATTATAGATCTGTTTCAGTTATCGATTGTTCATCGAAAATGCCGATGGTATGGAACGTGAAGGTGTTTTCAACTGGGAGATTTTTATTGCTCTGTCAATATCATGGGTTATAACGTGTCTTTGCCTAATCAAAGGAGTCTCAGTGATTGGAAGGATCTCATACTTAACTGCAACATTACCATATATTATAATATGTAATTATCTTCATAAAACTTGCTCCTTGATTGATGTTGTGACGGTCCTTTTCATATCAACTTCTTTCAAAGCGATAATGCTAGTTCGTGGCGTGACGATGGATGGTGCTAAAGGTGGCATTGAATATTTATTACACCCTGATATGAACAAATTGTGGAAGTTGACAGTAAGTTATTATCAGAGGAATAAGGATGTCCAGATCTCAGACACTATCTCCATTTCAGACCTGGGTCGAGGCGGCAAAGCAATTGTGCTTTAGTATCGGTATTGGCTATGGCGGTCTGCTCGCTTTGGCCTCATACAATAAGAAAGGCCATAACTGTTTTCGGGTGATTTTTTGTCAATCCCACGTTTTGAAAAACACCAAACGTTTTCGGTTGTCAGTATGTGAAGGTTGCAGAACGTAGAAGTTTAGTCACCTGCTCCCTTCCTAGATCGAATCCTGTCTGGGTCAACTCGACCTTTACTCCCACTAGGGTACTTTCCAAGAAACATCAAAAGGTCAAACATAGAGCGTATAACTGTTGACGGTGGGTGCCGATTACGCGAGCAAAATGACCACGCATGTAAGATTACGGATAAAAGCCCCTCGGAGCACCCAGATGACAGCTCGACGATGAGTAGAGAAGGAATAGCAGAATGATCAACTAATTTGGTCTGTTTCTCCCACTTCATTCCCCAGATGAACCCTCTCACCCTAATGTCACTGCAACCCTGTTCCCATACCAAAGTTTCTTTCCTTGTAGCACAATGTGGAGTGTGCAACAAAGCCTTCCATACGCTTTTGTTGACTCCTTTCTTACTCATTTTCAGTCTTAATCTCTTACTTAGTTTTTTTGTTCAGGACGCAGTTGCTGTGATTATCTTCGATGGCCTGATGAGCATGATTGGAAGTGTTGCGGTTTTCTCCGTGATTGGACAGTTATCAGCATTATCCGGGAAACCCGTAGAAACCATTTTTAGTTACGAAGGTTCCTTGATTCATACTTGCTTTATTCGCTTTCTCAATTATTTTCAATAATTTCTTTTGTGATTGGATGAGTAGGCTTATATAGAGGTGGGCCATAGGCAGAGCAAATTTCATTCTGACTGCCAATATACCTGGTTGGACTTTTAGGCAGTCCCATATGAAAGTCGAATTGATTGCCTATCCTAAGAAAACATAAGTCGTACTGCTCCAGCTCTATTTTAAAAAGGCAAGATCACCGCCCTGGGATAAGAACTGAGAAGGGGTTAATAAGAAAGAGAAGGTTCCTAATTAGGGATTTGATTTCGCACAGACGATTTACGAGGATTCTTTTTGCTTGAACTTTAAACTAGAAAAGTTATCGATGGAACTTACTTCGTTCTGAGTTTTTCAGCTCCATCTATTACCTTCGTAACGTATCCTCAAGCACTCAGCGCCATGCCTGCCTCTGGATTTTTCGCATTTTTGTTATTCTTTATGTTTTTCTTGCTAGGAATAAGCAGCCAGTTTGGTAGGTGCACCCACATTCTTTGAATTTGTTCGAAAACATGGAAACTTGAAGAATTCAGGATTAACTCAAAACGCCATAACTACCGTGACAGATCAATTCCCTTCCTTACGAAGATGGAAAGGGTTTGTGGTGGCTGGATTCTGCTTATTTTCTCTGCTCGCTGGATTGACAATGTGCTTGCCGGTGACCTTTTTATTCTTTGCATCAATATTATTATTTAATCATAAAATTTTATTCTACTGAGTGATATGCAATCTCACGAATGGATCCAGCAAAGTGGCTGATGACCTCTGAGCCCACTTTATTTCCCTTTATTCATCCACGACCTATCAGCATGTTATCGCTCGTCTAGGATGCTATTAGGTTGGGAGGAAATTACCCACCGAAAATCTTGCTACGATTTAGGTTCTCTGAGGATCCTCTCGCAGCTCTCGTGGGGTGTTTAGGTAACGGCTATCTATTTCTTACCTTCCTCTACAGTGATCAAATGTCTACTCATACTCAACAAGTACTTCTTTACGAATCCGAATCGGTCACTCCGGTGCTGGAAGACATTGAATCTTGGGTTAAGCATGTGAACTTGAAGTCTCTTTTGAGCAATTCTGTGTACACCTCATGACACTTCACACATCGAAACAAAATGGTCGAAGATGAGCCTCAATCTGGTCAGCTTTTTGGTATCATGAAATCTTCTGACATGGTGTAAGAGGGTTGTGTCTCGTTCTAGTATGTCTATGGGAGCTTCTAGAAAATCTCACGAGATGTCTGATCTATTGTGAGATTTTTGGCGCATAATTTCCGTACAACCTAACAATATTGATAAAGGATCCTATACCCTTCTCTCAGTTGCCCCTCACTCCACTCTTCTCCCCTACATTCCTCTCCTGTTCCTCCCCCACCTCCCCCCATTCCTGTAGTGGTCTCGATTAGTAGGCCCACGCCATTCATTGCTATCCAGACCGTGACTTATTCATTTTGAAGCAGATCTACTGATGTTTGAAGGGTACATCACAGTTTCAGAAGTAGGTTCAATGTTGGGAATCGAACCTTTCGGTAGTAAAGTTGGTAAGCGGTGAATTGAGTTTCTGCACCAGAACCTTGAATCTACGATTGTAGCGTAGCACATTTTCAGCATGCACAGAAGAGCTTTTTCAGTCTGGCTATTACTGGTTCAATTTGTTTTTCAATTCGATCGCTGGAACTGCTTTACTGATCCTCGGTCTCATCGAAATCTTTATCTGTGTGTTTGCCTACGGTAATATATTAATTATTAATAACAAGATCGGGCTTTTTCTGATTATTCCAGTCCAAAACGCAGTTTTCTCCATAATAGAGGCTAGGATTAAAGAGGTCTCGTTTGGAGCCGGGACTTGAACATGGCACATAGCCCCCTGTGTCCTGCGTCAATTCAATCCCCACCTGTCTCCAGAAGTTTTGCCCCTTAATTCATAACATTTGAAACGTGATGCATCCTTTTCCATTCGATCATTCATTGGAAAAGCTTTTTGATTTTTAAGGACCATCTCATCTGCAACGTGATATCAAAGAAGGACTTGACTCCAAAACAAATACATGGGTGATGCGGATTTTTGGCCCATCTGGTTATATGATAATGGCTTGCTGGGCATTTTTCACTCCTATCATGCTTTCGGTAACAATTTTATTTTTTTTTTGGTTTCAATAAAAACCGTGTTCTACCGTATCCTTTCAAAAACTTTCTTTTCAGATTATTGTCGTGCTAGGGGTTCGCGATGATCTCGGGAAAGCTAGCGATGATCAGAATCTATGGCTTGAGTATCTGCCTTTTATGGCCATTCCGATATTCACAATAATCAATATATTCACCTTTATAAGACGGGGCAAAGTGATTTTGAAAATTTTTTGAAATTTTTTGACTTTTTTTTTGATTGCTTGACTTCTGGTATTTGATGATTTTGTTATATTTTTGTTTAGAATTTGAAGGATGTATTCCGCGTACAAGCTATACTCCGGCCTCCCAAAATAGCTATAACAAATAATAAGGTGAAATACACTCATACTAGTCAGGTACAAGAAAGTTTTCCTCAGACGAAACACACCTTTTTGCTCCCAATTCCCACACCCTCACCTCCCTCCTTCTCTCTCCTCCAGTACTCTCTTTCTGTCACAGGACATCCGAGGAAGAAGTACTGAGGATTCGGAATCCTATTCCCAGTATACAAAAGGAGCGTTCGAGGAAAAATAAATCAATAAATAACAGAGATTGGTGGCATACAGGACCATTGTTTGTTGTCTTGAGACCCAAATCACAGGCCTGTGCCCACCTGAACTCCTATCTATTTCGAATCCTTCTAACAAACATAGATCCTCCCAACAAAACCAGTGATCCTTACCCAAATGAACCACATTACCTGGGGTTTGCCGATTGGTTTTCGATAGTTTTCTATAAGTAATAGTTGTTTTTGAAAGCTAAAGAAGCTCAATAATAATTGATTTCAATTTTCAGGTACATCAGGAGATGGAGCAGGCGATAAACGGATGGGATGAGTGGAAAGCTTAGAAATTTTTCAGTGATCTTATTGAAGTTCCTTGCCCAAGTAATCGATGAAATAAAGATAAAATAATGAAGTCCTCAATTACTATTAAAAAAATTCACTATCGAGCAAACTGTTGAATAATCAGCCGTCAGTTCCTTTTCGCTATTTTAAAACAGGGCGAAGGTAAGGAAGCGTTAAGAGTCGTCACCATCACGAATATGGAAGGGCACTGGATGACTATTTTACTCAGATGTCAGACAGACAAGGAGCTCCTTGTATTGAAAGGGGCGTTGTTTACAGACTAATTGAGAAATCCAATAGTACCATTTAGGGCAAAAATGCTGATAAACGAGTGGATCCTTCTATTTAGTACTTTCCATGTACTGGTAATCATGTGATCGTTCACCTGGCCCTACCCATAACATCAATGCCGTACAAATGGGAGTGTATGTGTTCGTATCACTCCCGAACTCGCTAGTTACGATAAGGTCACCACCTATCAGATACGATCGATTTCTTTCGCAGTTCCTGCCCTACAGCTGCGGCATGTTATGCCTTTGACGGATCGGACCACCTTTTTGTTAATTTCTTTTTTTCATTTTCTTCATTTTTCGTGATTTTGTTGCTCTATAACAGGGACTTTCACATTGGTTTTTCTATCCTTTTTTCATAGTTCTGATAAGGAGGTGATCAAGGATTAGGTAAGCATTACCTACTTCGGTGATCTGTACGTAGGCTAGTTTGGGACCCCGAATTTGAAATTAGCTTCATATAACAAAATGTTTTTACATTAACTCTTTTTAACTCAGTACCCCCAAAAAGACGATCACATCAATTACAACCTTCTACGAAACAGATCTTGTCATATAATCTCCCAAATCTCGAGAGCAGGTAGAAAATCTCAGCTTTCACATTGCTTTACTGTCGTTTCCTTTCCCGTTCGTGTCCTGTTAGATCTCTATGGAAAAATAGTCGATGCGCTCAGAGTCAAAGTAGCTTCTTGCGGATTCGTTGTTTAAGGTTTCGGTATTATAGAGGTGCTGAAGATGACAACAGCAAATGATCGTGCTGTTCTCAATCATATTCTGAACCCACTGATGCCTACAACAGATGTGTCCAATTTGGAAGGCACCATTGCCGATGATGGTAATTTTTACTTATAAGTAAAATCAACTAAAACCGAGTTGTCGAGAAAGCGATGAGTAAAATTCTCCTGAAGTGAGTAAAAATATTGTCCCAATCAAAATGAGACACTTAGGTCCGCATTCAGTGCTTACCCAATTACGCTGGGTATAAATGCTTTTAACATGGCCTTTTTATAACGACCTGAGTCGATGGGAGAAAATCTTTGACGATGCGCCACTCATCAACCTTTCATTCATAATCATGTGATCATTGGATTGTGTATCAACTCCCTACATTGCCTGCAAAATCATCAGCTTAACCTGGCCGCTGTTTCCTATGACTGAAAACTTTTCAGAATCCATTGTACAGTCCCAGAGTACAAAAAAATCCACAAGACTTCGATCTCTCCTACCTTATCGGTCGTTGGTGGCGCCTCAGCCCACTGTACCACCTTACCGAGTGTTACTATAATCCAAAAGAAACATGGGTACAGACTTCCCCAGCTGATTCCAGCCCTTAGGCCTTTTATGAATGACAATTTACCATTTTCGGCTGAGTGAGGCATTGCCCTGCAGCCCCGCAGTGTGCAGTATTTATAAAACCCAGGTGAAACGGGAGTTTTTATGATTCTCGCCAAATATTTACGCATTCTATCGGGAAAACCATAGTTTAAAATGTTGCGATTTTGAGCTTTGAACGGAGCTTTACAGCAATAAACAAATAAATAAAGTAAACATTAAGCCCAAAACATGGTTGGTTCATTCTCATAAATCTTTTCATAAATATATTTACAGCTCCAATCACTGCTGATGGTATTGAGGAATCTCGAGCATTGGAAAAAGAAGGAGTACTGTCTGCTGAGAAGGGCAATGTTCCTGAATCTATTGAAAAATTTAACAAAGCCATCGAAATATGTCCTGTTAATCCATCTGCGTACAATAATCGAGCGCAAGCATTACGGCTATTGGGCAAAACTGATGGTGAGTGATGATCTTCCTTACAGACTTACTAATCCCGAGGAAAGCAAACAAAATTGGTGGCGAAAAGTTGGCTCAAGGTTGATATATGAGGGGATTTTTAATACGCTTTTTACGGGCGGTAATTTTTTGATGATCGCCTCGCCTTTTCACTTGATAGACTGTTAGCTGTGTTGCCGAGGGCATGCCTTTCGTGGTTTTCAACAATCAACTACTGGCCCCCAACCTGGGCTGGGCTGTATTCTCCGACAATTTCTAGGATTTATGGTGAGATTCCCGATAAGCTCACAGCGTGCGACCATTTCTATCTAGTCGTCACGCCCTTTCGCTTTGTTATTGCTAGTTGTTTACCCGCAGGGCATGCCTCTCAATGATCCTAACAGCTACCGAGGCCATTTTGTTACTGATACGATACGACGACAAACGAAATGTTAGCAAAAAATGAAATTTAGAAGACTTGCCTTTGAAAGCGCATAACTATTACCAACAGTACATTTCAGAAGCCGTAGCTGATTTAAATCAAGCTATTTCCCTGAGTAAAGGTGTAGGAAGGAGCGCTTGTCAAGCATTCGTTCAACGAGCCATGATTCATCGACTGCACGGCGATGACGACTCAGCCAGGGTAAGATGTTTAGTACTGCCTGATGTAAACGACGATGATATTTCTTCCTACAGGCCGATTTCCAAAAAGCTGCTGACCTCGGTTCATCATTCGCCAAGATGCAACTGGTTGCCCTCAATCCGTACGCGGCTATGTGTAACAAGATGCTCAGCGAAGTGTTCAGTAATCTCAAACAAGGAAAAACTGAATAGTCTACTTGAAAGCATAATTCATTTGTAACAAAGAAAGGACTTCTTCTGATGACTTTGAAGGATGACAAAATTAATAAATATCTCTTTGAACAATAATACAATGTCTGATAAGCCTGCCTTGTACCAAAACAAGCTGAAAATCACTTGCAGAGACGGCGATTCATAATCACTACCCTGCTTCCTTCTCCCTAACTCTTAAAGCCTAAACAACTGACTAACAACAAAAACAAATAACAGTAAATCAACAGGAATACCCGTAGATGATTGAGGCACATGAAAATTTCATGCAGACTGAGATACTATATTATTCCGTTTTAAGTACCGAAGTATGGCAACGATCGCTTCTGGTTTAACACCAGGAACCCTGAAATATTCACTCACACCATATGATTCTCAAAATCTTTCACTTTAGCACACCTGTCTTGCGAGAGAGGATGTGAGCATGAATTCGAAAACGCTAGAAAATTGAAAAGACACGATTACCTTGAAGCTGCTGCTAAATTGAGGGGTCGTGCCCGATCCAGCTTTTCCCAGCATTCAGCACTCAGACCTTGTAATTTGCTGTAGTCTATGTCTTCAGGTATTAGGCTACTTGATTCCTGATCAATTTCCTTCATCTAAATATGAATTAACAATCTAATGAAACCAGTAATAAATGTTCCAAAAAATGAATACTAGAAAATAGAGTGAGATGTTCAGAAGAGTACATTGCCGAAAGGATCTAAGCAACTTGATTATGGTCGCACAGTATTTGCAATAAAAATAATCCACCAACTTAAACAATTCTAGAGAAACTTTTTTTGTATAAAGTAGTACCGGCGAAAATCAGGCTCACTCATTCAAAACTATTATACTTTTCCGTTACAAAACTCTCTACCAGCAATAAGATAATCAGGAGGAACTCAAACTGCCGAACCACGGAAGAAAACTGAAATATCGTTTCGGTGCAAAAAAATCACCTTGTTTTTCATCCGTTCTTGAGCTACTTCATAGCTGGCCTCATACTTGAGACGCTTTTCGAGGTTTTCCAGCTTGTCCGGCAAAGAGTGTCCAAGCTGATCAGGAAGTGCAGCTTTCAAAACCTCCAGGGAAATGTTATGTCGATAGAGCATTTCGTATGCAGATAGGACTGAAATCACGGATCATTCTTCGTTGGGTTACGATATCTCTACAAAGCACTGGAAAAGGAGTATAAATCAGTCAAGTAGAGTCACTCAGCGACAGCACAACCATCAAGCCCTATACACGTTCGGGTTTTTCTTCAGAAGAGAGGGCTCAGTAAACCACATTACAGAAAGATCATCTTCTTACCTTTAGCTAGATTCTTCGACTGCAATTTTGGAAGCACTCGACTCCATTTTGATATGCTCATTCGGATACTTCTCAGAGCTTCAGTGGCTTTGTCAACGGCATTCTTTTCATCGATAAACCGAGACCATCGGACATCGCGTACTGCTCCCCATTTTCTACCGAGTTCCGTGAGTCTCATATCTGCATTATCCGGTCTGAATGAACAAAATTTGATGTTTGAAAAAAGGATGCTAATGGTAACTTCCTGTAAAAAAAAAAGGATGCTAAGGACTTCCGAAAGTTGCGGCTTTAGAAATAGAAAAAAAAATTCCGACTTGAAGGCTTTTCCACTACATTCAACCCTGCGAGAGGACCCAGAATGGAGCCTAAATCGTCCCACCTACGGCCAGCAGGATTTGAACAGATATCCGTGAAGGAAATAGGATGAAATAGCGGTAAGAATAAATGGATTTCAAACCTTAAATGCAATCTGTGCTCCGCTCGCGATGTGAACATTCGATAAGGCTCATTTGTGCCCAAACTAGTCAGATCATCAATAAGAACACCGACATATCCTAAAGAAGTTACATGATTTCATCAAATTATCAAATGCTCTCGAAGGAAGCGCTACTTCCTAATTAAATCGCTTTGGTCTGACCGTCTCCTAACGGTCACTTTCGTTGCAAACGAGCTCCTTGTGAGGAATAGGGTCCTTCTATATATCTAAAAGTCCTTAGTTATCCTCGATACAAATCGCATGACTGTAGAATGTCAGAGAGCCAAATATATTGATCAGTTTGCACAAACCCCAATAAGGGCAAATATTCCCAAGAAGAATTGGAAAACATTTCTGTTCAATATATGCATTCAACTACCTAACAGTAAATACTCACTAGCTTACTACTGAAGAACAGTCTCGCTACTCACCTTGGCTACGACGAACAACCATTCCTTCAACTCCTCGGACACGTGCAGCTGCATTGATACCAGCCACAACACCTTAAAAAACAGCAAAGATGGTTAGCTCTCTAAAAACAGGATCGAGGTAAAAAAAGGTCTTTTAACTACCCTGAGCTGCTGCCTCTTCGTACCCTGTCGTTCCATTAATCTGCCCAGCCAAGAAAAGGCCCTTCACAGACTTTGTCTCTAATGTTGGTAATAACTGTTTAGGGTCTACGAAATCGTACTGAACTCCGTAGCCGTGCTGAGCGATCTCAACCTAAAAGATTGTCAGAGAGAAATTGGTGGGGTAAACCAAGTGATACTATTAACAACCTCTTAGCGTCCACTGTTACTATGAAAAAAAATTTCGGGATCACAATAAAATGATATTTAACTAACCTTTTCTAATCCTTTGATAGCTCTCATTATCTTGAGTTGAATCTCGGGTGGAAAAGTCATAGACATTCCTTGTGGATAAATCAAGTCAGAATGGAGGCCTTCGTGCTCCAGGAATAACTTAAGAAACATCGTTCGTTATAGATGAATAAATGTGCATGCAGTTTAATAGAAAGTTTAGAAAGTCTGGAATATCTATGAAAACAGGAAAGACCCCGTGAAACTTTTATGCTAATACTTACTCTGTGATGAAGCTGTGGAAACCGGATGATTTTTGCCTCGAGAGATGGACAGTAACGAGGTCCACGTGCATCAGCTTTGATGTGTACATTTTCTGCTATATTTTCCTCAGCTATTTCACGCACAAGATCGTTGGTATAACCGATATAGGTAGGCAACTAAAAACAAAACCTGAGCAGCTAGCAGCTTATAGATTATAACAGCTAAGTTAAGAAAGAAAAAGAACCTGTTGTTCAGGCGGTAACCAAACTTGGTCGGTCATAAAGGAAAAAGGTATTGGAACAGGATCCGGTGGCATCAATTGGAATTGCGTGAAATCTATGGAGTTCTAAACGGTTTCATTAGTTAATGCAATGAAGAAGGAGGATAATCACGTAAAATTCTCAAGTAATTTAAAATCGACTACCTTCCACAAACGAGGCGGAGTTCCAGTTCGAAGGCGTGATAGACGGAAGCCCAACTCTTTGAAGGACTGTGATAAACTTGTAGCACTCTGAAGTTAACAAATAATGTCGAATTATGTCACAATGATGTTTTTACGAATAAGTACCTTTTCACCAATTCTCCCAGCTGGCCATCGTTTCTTTCCCAAAAATATCTCTCCCCCTAAAAAAGTCCCTGTTGCTATAAGAACGGTTTTCGTCCTAAATATGAACTAAACTGAATTAGTGGGTGCAAGATAGAATAAATTCACGATCACTCACTTCAGCTTGCTGCCATCCTCTAAGACCACACCGGTGACTCGCCTTTCATTACCATCTTCAACAATAAGAGAATCAACACCACCTTCGACGACCATCAGGTTCTCGGTAGTGGAAATCTCCTGGAACAGTAACATAAAATAATTCAAATTAAGTAGTTTGGAGAAAATAAAAAGGAATGTTTTCCCCAAATCCATAAATGCGAACAGCACGAGAAGGTCTGAATAATAGCAAAAAAAAAACAAATTACAAAAAATTAGATTAAGATAACCTCACCTTTTGCATATGAGCTTTATAGAGCGAGCGGTCGATTTGGGCACGAAGACCAAGGACTGCAGGGCCCTGCCCAGAGTTAAGAGCTGAACGATTAAACTTTACCCAATTCACACTTTGGCAAGGTTACCGACGTACCTTGATAGGTAATGGCAGATTTATCACAGATACGACCGCATAGACCATCCAAAGCATCAACTTCGCGAATTAAATGCCCTTAAAGGGAAATCGTCATCAAATATCTCACAGATTGAATCCCCACAAACATCCATGATTGGCACAAACCTTTTCCAATACCACCAAAACTTGGATTACAGCTCATTTCTCCAATTGTGTTCTTGTTATGCGTGAGGAGAATTGTTCGAGCACCACACCTTGCTGCTGCTGCAGCTCCCTCACATCCTGCATGCCCTCCACCTACAAAACAAGTATAGGTTGCTAAAGCTCTATCAACAGAGCTTTTGATAACGCTCCAGTAGATTGGCTGAAGGGCTGATCGATGCAGAGCAAACATGCCACAAAAGTCTTATTGAAGGGGGCAAACTACGACAGATTAAGGATTAACATCTACAGGTAAGTGCTACATACTTCTTAAGCTTCAAAAATGCTGTGCATACAGCCGGCGCCTAAACCACCAGGTGTCATTTGAGTTCTCGTGGGATTTACTTGTAACCCAAGGTAGCAGGACAATTGAACTTGAAGGATAGGCTTACCGATGACAATGACGTCAGCATCGCTCCAAGTAGACAGTAGACGATAGCAATGTCTCGCCCATTTAGAACGCCGATATATCCTCTGTATGGAGAGCATCACCTCCAGTAGCGTTACGAACGACGGGAGACCCCAATAGAAAATGCCGTAAATTACAGCAAGTGCTGTGCAGTACACGAAACACCCGATAACGACGCCTTTTGATTGGTTGTTTTAAGTGGTGGGATTTGCTTTACGGCTACTCATTACGGCAATGCCTTCTTGTCTACTATTAGATTCAACCGCTTTTTACCACTAGTTAGTGACTCGGTAAAGATCACGTGGTAGCCTCGNNTAAACTTGTAGCACTCTGAAGTTAACAAATAATGTCGATTTATGTCACAATGATGTTTTTACGAATAAGTACCTTTTCACCGATTCTCCCTGCTGGCCATCGTTTCTTTCCCAAGAATATCTCTCCCCCTAAAAAAGTCCCTGTTGCTATAAG